CCACAACACGAGGAACTGTATTAAAGGGCCATGGCATTAGAAAGGTTGAGAACCACACCTCTAGAGGAATACCTGGCATGTAGTATATGCCCAATAAACATTTATTTTCTTTAATTTTAAAAAAAAGGTATTTTATTGATTTTTTTACAGAGAGGAAGGGAGAGGTTAGAAACATCGATGAGAATCATGGATCAGCTGCCTCCTGCACACCCTCCACTGGGGACATGCCCGCAACCAAGGTACATGCCCTTGACCGGAATCAAACCTGGGACCTTTCAGTCCTCAAGTCGACGCCCTATCCACTGAGCCAAACCGGTTTTGGCTAAACATTTATTGAATAAATAAATTTGTAGTTTCAAAGACTCATCATTTCCAGAGTAGAGGTGAGGTGGTAGAAGATGAAAAATACTGAACCATTAATTCCATCAGGAGATATCAAAACTTTACTGATGTTAAGATCAGCATTTCCCGTGACCCAAATGAGTTTCAATGTGAAAATTCTTATCTATTGTATCAGAGTCAGTAAAGAGCATGCTATGCTTTTGCACGATCTTATCATTGAGCGGACTGGATCAAGGCTACATGAGATCATTTCTTACAATTGTATGTGACTCTGCAGTCATATTAAAATAAAACATTTAATTTAAAAAACTCTAATCTAAAGGTAAAATAATTTAGTATTCATTCGGCCTGCTTATATAGTATTCACCCCAAAATGTATTTCCCCACAGAAGATTCTGTGATGGCAGGTGCTCACAGACAGAACTTAGGCTCCTGACAGAAGTCACCATTTCTGGGAGGCGATCTCTTTTTCCTGGAGCTGAGAACGTTAGACTGTTATTCACCCCACATGGCACCTGGCCCATAGTCAGTGTACAATAAATATTTATTCAATGAGCTAATTATTTCTGAGAATGCCAAAATGACATCCAGGTACAGCCTGTGAACTGCCTATCTTAGCATTCCAACCTGGCAAGACACCAACACCTAAGGTGGGTCTATAAATAACTCTGTAAAACACTCACAAAGCATTTAAGATGCCCAAAGGTACTTGTTCACACATATCTAATTACTCAATTCTCCCATGAGTACTGCATTACATAGTAAGGTAGGACAAAGAAATACTGTTAGGCCACCTATAAAATAATTTTTTCCTTTTTTAAGAAAATATATTTATCGATTTCAGAGAGGAAGGGAAGAGGGAAAGAGAGATAGAAACATCAATGATGAGAATCATTAATTGGCTGCCTCTGCACGCCCCCTACTGGGGACCAAGCCTGAAACCCAGGCATGTGCCCTTGGCTGGAATCGAACCCAGGACGCTTCAGTTTGCAGGCCGGTGCTTTATCCATTGATCCAAACTGGCTAAATCATTTTTTTTAATGGGTACTGAGCCGAAACCGGTTTGGCTTAGTGGATAGAGCGTCGCCCTGTGGACTGAAAGGTCCCAAATTCGATTCCAGTCAAGGGCATGTACCTTGGTTGCGGGCACATACCCAGTAGGGGGTGTGCAAGAGACAGCTAATCAATGATTCTCTCTCATGGATATTTATAACTCTCTATCCTCTCTTCCTATCCGTAAAAAATTAATGAAATATATAAATAAAAATAAATGAATACTGAAATAGTTTGGTCTAATTAACCAATACCCTTTCTAAAAATTGACCAGTAACCCGAAACCGTCGGCCTGGAGACTGAAAGGTCCCAGGTTCGATTCTGGTCAAGGGCATGTACCTTGGTTGCGGGCACATCCCCAGTGAGGGATGTGCAAGAGGCAACTGATAGATGATTCTCTCTCATCAGTGTTTCTAACTCTCTATCCCTCTCTCTTCCTCTCTGTAAAAAATCAATAAAATATATTTAAAAATAAATAAATAAAATAAAAATTGATCAGTAAATCAGTGGTTTGGGACAGTTGCACATGGAGAACCTATTTGACTTGTCAGTTCTGGTAAAGGATGAAGTATCAACCTCCTGGTTGTGTTTGTTTTTTCCTTCTATTTAGACAACAATTAATGGTTAGAACAGCACACTTTGCTATTGTATCGACCCATTCAGCCAATCTCTATACTTAAGGAATGTTTCTGGAGCCGACATCCTCTAAAAGCATATTTACATGTTAACGTTTCACTTCACTTATCAAAAGTTACAATCACTCCAAAGTTACAAATTATGACTAAGGTTTGATATAAACCAAGTTCTATCTGAGCACTTTTATCACTTATATAACCAGGTATACTTCCTCCATGAAAGAGCAACTTTCCTGTCTAAACTGAGCTCTAAACCAAGGCCAGTGGCTACTGCTCTTGAAGCGGATTAGTAAAACAAAGTACCCAACGCAACACAGGAGTTGATTTAAACCGATAAAAAGCAGGAAACTCGGAGCTGAAGGTAAAACCAGCTCCTGACATGCCCCATTGTTCCCTGGCTCACTAAGACACCCCTCACATTAGGTGGCCCCGTATCTCATCTGGACTAAATACCAAAGCTGAATGCATCTATTTAAGGCAGATGTGGCCTCATCCTTAAATTTCCAGATTTAAATCACTGCTGTCCTTTGTCATTTATTTTCTAAAGTGGCAGCTTTTGTTAAGAGTAACCCAAGCAAAAGAGGCTTTATACGGAGGAGGCAGTTGGAAGACCGGTATAATATGCTCCTCTATTGTGTAGAAGAGAATCTTTGAAGTTTAAGTTTAGCAGACGTATCAGCCCTGAATATTAACACTGTCTTATGAATGAGAGGAACTAGATTTACATATAAAAAGTTATTCAAGCTATTTTTTAAGTAAATCCATTTTAGAACTTACCTGTAAGGATGAACTTTTTTTCTGTTCCCAATTCTAGCACTGACCATGATTCTTAACGTCCAGCAGAATCACCCTTTCATTTTCTTCTTTTCCAAACCTTTAGATTGCAGAGCACATTCCACACTCAGCCACAGATCGAGGCCGTTAAAAAACAAACAAACAACAAAACAAGGTTCTGTTTCAGAGAAACAAATCAAATTACTGGAGGCTGAGGGACTATAGGAATTCCTTAAGTTTGTATTTCATGGGGTACATTTAAAACAGCCCTATCTAAGGGAGACTTGCTTTCAAGTTCAATGGCACGTCGCCACCCTTACTCATGGCCTTTCCCTGCTAGGTATGTTTTACTCCCAAGAATGACAGAAGTAACCCCTGAAAAACTGTTCATCTCTTAGACTTGCAGCCTCCTTTCCTAAAGAATAATAATGTCTTCAAATTACACAACAAGATGGTCAAGTTATTTAAAGTTATTAAAGTTAGGGCCACCTAAAATTTCTTCCTCCGTTTCAGCACCACTTTTCTGAAATGTTTTCAAGAGGGGAAAATCATGAACAGAAAACAGAGCATTTATGTCAGTATGTGCAGGTTTGTAATGTATATGCATGACAGTACCAGGCAACAACCCCAAAATAAAATAAACAATTCCATTATAACATCAAAAGGAACAAAAATCTTAGAAATAAATTTAATAAAAGGTGCAACACTTACTCAAAAACTATAAAACATTACAAAAAAAATCCAAAGCCGAAACCGGTTTGGCTCAATGGATAGAGCGTCGGCTTGGGGACTGAAGGGTCCCGGGTTTGATTCTGGTCAAGGGCATGTACCTTGGTTGTGGACATATCCCCAGTAGGGGGTGTGCAAGAGGCAGCTGATTGATGACTCTCATCAATGTTTCTAACTTTCTATCTCTCCCTTCCTCTCTGTACAAAATCAATAAAACATATTTTTTTTAAAAATTCAAAGACCTAAATAAAGGAGAAAACATCCCATATTCATGGATAGCATTAAGATGGCAATACTCCCAATCTGATCTACAGATTCAACACCATTATATCAAAATCCAAGCTGACTTCTTTAGTTAGATATTATGCACTAAACATCATTTACAAGAATGGTTACATACTTCTTGTACCTAGGAGTTACTTCTGGTTTGTAGATGAAGGTTTTAGAAACTCTGAAACAGAAATCAATTGCATCAGCCCTCCATGCCCCTAGGACTCTAAGGTAAATTGATTGAAAACCCACACATAAGCCCTCATATCCAAACAAGGCCCCCTCTGAAACATAACCTCCTCACTGCCAGCTTGGATCAACGGAACAGTCCAAAGTCCACCTGAAAAAAATATGTGGGGGTGGAGTGATAGGGGCTAAGGGAAATTGGAAACAAGCAAAAAATGCTCCTTGACTTCCTTCCCTACAGTCAGAGATCTAAGCACATAAAGAAGAAAAATCATTTTAAAAATCTTTAACACTGAAATTTCTTGGGAAAAAGATCTGCAAGGCAATTTCCTTTAAATATATATATGGAATATTATATTGTTTGATGTGAATCAATTTATACAAGTCATCTAACGAGCGGAATTAGTATACTGTGTACCAGTCATGTAATGCAACAGAAACGCTGCATACACTCCAGACCCAGTGAGCCCCCCTCCATCAGAATGCAGGCAAAGCCAGCCTCTCTTTTACTCTGAAAGAGACCAAAGGCTGAGCCAAGACTAGCTTTTACACATGCTTCCTCTGCCTCCCAAATCACCATAGAAAAGCAATATTTATTTAATAAACACACATACATAAAATTTATGCCACCGACAGGAATTTATTCTTCCATTAAATAATACAACACTCTGAATTGTCTACTTAGAGCTGCAATTCCATTCAAGATTAATGCTCATTAAGTTTTTAACACCAAAAAAAAAAAAAAAAAAGATTTATGAAAAGAAAAAAGAACTGCTTAGGAGGAAAACAAAAATGGAAAGCCCACCAAAATAAGTACACTCATTTACATTTGTAAATAAAAAAAGGCAGATGTCCCTGTACACTGACAGATGCCACAGAATTTGCTAATCTACACAGACTCCTCCTTATACAAGACACTCCGCATTGAATTGTGACACATGACGGCACAGGTAGGCGCCGGGCATTGACTTGGCCAAAGAGGCTCAAGGCTTTCGTGTGGAGGACCATCTGTTAACGACAGGTGCACTTCGTGGCTATCATATCTTCATATTCTTTGTAAGCTATGGAGCCATCGGGCTCAATGGTCAGCACACTCAAAGGGCTGTACTTGGCAGGCACGCACGACGGCCTGGGCACGGAGGAGTCCAGCTGCTTCTCGTAGATGATGTTCTGCACCATGGTGTGGACGGGAGAGCCGTACCGGTGCCCCACCGCCCGCGGGCACTCCCCCTTACAGTACCGGGGGTTGTACCTGTGCGGGGCCACGATCCAGTTGTCCCACTTCAGCTGGCTGAAGCTAAGTCTAAAGTCATGGAGCTCACACTCGTTTTGGGGGAAAAGGAACTGTTTGAAGTATTCACTCAGATTTAGAGAAGCTGGAAGCAGAGGCTTCTTCAGTGCCGAGGTGGCAGTTTCCCGGCCTCTCCGGTGACGGGGAGATCTGACTCGCTGAGCAGCCTCTTCCCCTACAGGACAGGCAGGCAGGCCTGGCTGGTCAGGAACCTGGGAAGGGCTCCTTTTGTAGTGGAGCGAGTACCACCTGTGATAAGCCTGGGCACTCGTGTCATTCAGGTACAGAAGCAGGGAGGGGCGTACCAGGTTGAAGGCACTGTCCTGCGCAGACGGGCGCTGCAGCTTGTCTTTCACGCACGTAAACGCCACCGACACGTGGACACTTCTCTTGTCGGAGGCCACGAGAGGCTGAAGCAGGGCAGTCACATCAACCTCAACCCACTTGTATTTCCTTTTTAATTCAAACGGGGCCGTAAAGGTGACGGGGTGCGGAGCTCCGGGGGGAGTCTTGCTGGCACTGGACTCTGGCTCTTTCAGCACCAGGTGGCACACACACTGAGCAGCAGAGGGGAAAGAGGCGGAGGTGTTGAAAGTGTACAGCAACACTGACTTGAGGAGGTGCTCCACAGCGGTAACCCGATCCAGGTTAAACAGCAGGTCCACGGATGGCACGGGTCCTGGGGAGAGAGAAAGTCACCAGTAGCGCCTGAATACCATCCAACAGAACAGGAAGTCAAATCAAGGAATTGCTAAGATCGGTTTGGCTCAATAGATAGAGCGTCGGCTTGGGGACTGAAGGGTCCCGGGTTCGATTCCGGTCAAGGGCATGTACCTTGGTAGCGGGCATATCCCCAGTAGGGGGTGTGCAGGAGGCAGCTGATCGATGACTCTCTTATCGATATTTCTAACTCTCTATCTCTCTCCCTCCCTCTCTGTACAAAATCAATAAAATATATTTTTTAAAAAATCAAGGAATTGGTGCATTGGAATGTTGCTTTCTCCCTTCTCTTTTCCCACTTCAAACCTCAAAAAATGGAAAAGTGGGAAAGGGAGGGTTTATACAGAAAACACAGGTAATTGGGACTATTACATAAGTAATTCCCAGCAATTATAAGTGAGTATTTTCTCACCAGAAGGTCAGAACAGCTTTGGTGGTGAACTGAAATAACAGGCATTATAACACAGTTTAATTTCTAGAATCTTAATAATTTGTTCCAAACACAGAACGATAAGCAAGGAAAATTCTATTTTTCTCTTGGGGAGTCTCGAAAGGGAAAACTATAATAATAAAAAAAACACTAAGTTGGGCCCTAGCTAGTTTAGCTCAATGGATAGAGCATCAGCCTGCGTACTGAAGGGTCCTGGGTTTGATTCCGGTCAAGGGCATGTACCTCCGTTGCAGTTTCCCTGGCCCTGCTCTGGGTGTGTAGGAGGCAACCAATGGATGTTTTTGGTGGTTTTTTCTTTTCTTTTCTTTTTTTCCCTCTCTTCCACTCTCTCTAAAAATCAATGGAAAAGTATCCTCAGGTGAAGATTAAAAAATAAAATAAAAACAACCCTCACTAAGTTTGTTAAGCAGCCATTCTAAGCCTTAATGGATGGCGTCAATAAAGAAAGCTTAACTGTCTGAGTTAATTTGGAACACTTGGGAGAGACCACAGATGGAGGGTCTAAAACTACCAAAATAAAACATGACAGCAAGGAAGGAGGAAGGGTTTGGAACAGCCACCTTTTGGGTTAAAACCATGACCTCGTCAATATAGTTTGGTTTTCTCGAGCACTGGCCCTTATACACACTCACCCAGGTGCTGAGCCAAACTCCACCCTGTGCTTGTGAAGACCTACTTTCCTCTCACAGAACGCAACAAACAAGGGGAAACAGTACGTATAACAAAGCGTACCCATAGCTGGGAGATACTGTACACACATTTCCAGGCCGGCATTGGAGAATGGAAAAAATAAGCAACTGAAAGTCAAAATACCCGGTTTTCCAGTCTTAATTTTGTGACCTTGGACAAGATGCTAACCTTCCCCAGCAGCATTTTCCTCAGCCTTTAGAGCCATTGGGTCTCTTCTAGCTCTAACCTTCTACCCTCTTAGCCCACCTTAACCCCTGAGGGCACTAGAAGAAACAACAAGACCAAGTACCCGATTTGTTTGAATTTGGAAACTGAGAATCATGAGAAATAAAATGCAACTCAAGAAGCAAGGTCCTGCTCTTCCTGTAACGGAGTGCAGCCCGGTCTATCATCTTCCCTCCACACGTTAACCAGCCTGGTCCTACACACCTGTCACCTGGTCCACAGAAGCCTGCTCCTTGTGCTGGATGTGAGGGGTGAAGAGCCGCACAGTGTTGTAGAGGTGGCTTCTGTTGGATTTGGGGATCCCCTCCTTGGTAGCATATGCCTTATAGAGCCTCTTCATGTAGCGCAAAGCCCTGGAGTCCGGCTGCAGCCTAGGGACCCCCCCTTGCCCATCACACAGGACCTTGAAGAGCGGGGGAAGGAGGCCAGATCTGTCTCTCCCATCTGGAGGCTGCAGCAAGGACCAGGGCTCAGCCTCAGGTTCCAATTCAGCACTGGTTGCAATCTGATCTCCTCCCCTGGAAGCTAGAGAACCAAGGCTCCTAGGAAAACACAGCCAGGAAAAGCAGCCAAACCATAAAAAGAACTTGCTGGGAAGCGCCATGGCTTGGAAGAACTGGCAAGGAACCCAGCCATACCAGTCTTCCTAAGCGCCAGGAAGAGCCTAGGCTGATCTCTTAAATAAATTTTAGGTGTGTGGGTGGGTAGGGGCACTTCTGTAATCAGACCTCAAGGATGCCTAGCTGGAGATAATTTTTATCAGCTGTATATCAAACAGCTGATAACATCCTACTTTTATCCTCATTAGACACGGATTTGTTTTTTTTGTGTGTGTTTTTTGTTTTAGTTTGTTTTGTTTTGCTTTCCTCCTCTTCCTTTCTTCTGGCATTTAATTTTAAAACCTCTTAAGTAATTTTAAAACCTCTTAAGTTATTGTTATACTAATGCACCAGCTATGAAGCTGAAAGGCTAAGAGAAATTATCTTAAAAGAACCCCATTTTTTTTTTTAATAGAGCAACTAGGGTTCTTAAAATATTCCTTAGGTGCTTGCTGAAACTTCCAGGGCACGTGGAAAAACTAACTATTCGTGATGCTACAAAGATCTGTTGATATGCAATTTATGGTATTAGGTTTACTCTTCCTGTCTCTTCATCCTCACCGCGGCTCCCACGCTCCCACTGTCAGGTGCTTAGAATAATTATTTACCACATGTTGATTTGGAGGGTGAGAGAAAGGCACCTTTGGTATTGAAATTCTAGAGAGCAGAGAACGGTTAGGTTGCCCAGATCTTCCAGGTGGCTTCTACAGAATATGTACTTGGAATACAACAATATGCTTTAAAAAGGAGGACATCACCTTTAACCTTGATTCATTTTTAATGTCCTGATGTCTTTGCTTTGTCTGCAACATTCACCTGTACCTATTTTGGCTGAAAGGTTTAGAAATGTTTGCAGGTACTAGAAAATACATGGAAGTTTTACTTACTGTTTCATTAATCACTCAAATGGTGGTAGAATTTCCTAGGGTATTATCGTTCTTAACGGTTATGTCCTTGCCTCTGAGCTGAGACCAGGATAGAGATCATGTTTTAGAAAAATGAGACAAAGGTGTGTCGTGAGTAGCTGAAATAAGGGGCTATCCAGTGCCACCCCAAAGGAGACTCTGTGCTGGCAAAAAAAAAAAAAGCAAACACTCCTGGTACCAGATTCAAAACCACCAGTCTGTGCAGGGCTCAGGATGATAAAACTGAGGTATGTGTGCAAATTTAAGTTCCTTGACTGCCAGGCCTCCCTGGCCTGTGGCTAGGAAGAGGGTTATAAAACACACCCGAACTGTTAACCACATAGCCAGCTATTCCAGGGACAAAACGTGTAGACACTGCAGCCGGTCGGACAGCCAGACAGCTGCATCCTTCAGTGGAAGGCACCTTCCAAGAACACGACAACTGCCTCTCGGCCAACGTCCTTGCCTCTCCTCCCGGAAAGCCGAGGGAGACTGTGGGGCATCACGATCTATCCCCCACCCCCGCCCCCGCCATACCTTCTTGGGGACCAGGAACCGGAGGGGGGGCGGTGCTGGATGCCTTAGCCTCCTCCTTCTCTCTTATTACCACGTCACAGCCCTTTATCAACTGCTTGACAATTACTTGGGGGCTCTGTGGCTGCATCTCCAGAAATGTTTCTATTCTAACCCAGGAGTGTCTATATCCTGCCAGCAGATTCGCAGGCGGCGGTGGCCCAGAGAAGCCCAGATCCGAGTCCCTGGTTCGGTGCTGGGCCGAGCCGGGTGCTAGCTACCGCACCGGGGGTGTGAGACCGCGTCCGGGGCGCGCGGCGGGCCTCGGGGGCGCGCTCCACAGGCGCTCAGAGCCCGGCCGGCGCGGCCCTGCAGGTCTCCCGGCCTTTCTCGTCACCTCTGGGCGCTCCTCGGCACCCTGCCGCTTCCGGCGGCTCCACCCAAGGAGGAGCGCTAAGAGGAAGCGCGAACGCGCGGGGGGCGCCCCGGGCCCCGAACCCCGACCCCTACACCAGGGCCACCCGCCCCCACCCCGGCCCAGGTCCCGCCCCCCACAGGCCCCGGCCAGGCCACTTCTCTCCAGGACGCAGGGGGGGCGACAGAGCCCCCTCCGGAAACGGGGAAAGTGGTATCCCCCGGAAGTGATTTCAAGGCCTCCTAGACCGGCTTCCGGTCCTACCGGAAGTGGCGGGCGGAGGCCGGTGGATCTCGCTGCTGTGGAGGGCGAGGTGACCCCGGTGCGGGAGTGGAGTCCGGTGGCGGGGTCCTGGGGGCCGCTGGGAGGGTGGGGGCGCCGCCGGGCGGGGGAGGACGGGGAGGGCCGGCCGGGGTGCGGGGGGCGCGGCCCAAGCCTGAGCCCGGCGCCTGTCCGCCCTCGGTCCCGCAGGCGCTGCCGCCACCATGGGCCGCGCGTTTGGGAAGCTGACCCGGGTGCGGCATGTGATCACCTACAGCCTGTCGCCCTTCGAGCAGCGCGCCTTCCCGCACTTCTTCAGCCACGGCGTCCCCAACGTGCTGCGCCGCATCCAGGCATCCATCCTGCGCGTCGTGCCGCGTGAGTGCCCCTGTCTCACTCCCCCACACACCCTTTCTCCCTGAGAACCCTGCCAGGCCCGTGGACTAGTCCCGCCATCGTCTCCTGCCTCCGAGGAGGAAACTGTCCCAGAGAACTTAAATGCGTGGCCCAAGGTCACCTGTGTGGCTCCGTCTTCCTCCGAGGTCATCTCCACCCGCTACTTTCCTAGCGGCCCACTGTTATGTGTTACAGGGAAGCAGGTAGTGAGGGTGGTAGCACAACCTAGCGAATTTGGTTAAATGGTGAAGTTCATGCTATGTTAACTTTATTCCCATTATCTGAAAAATTTTTAAATGTGCTCCAGAGGAGGTTTGGTGACAGAGTTTCTCGGGTAGAGCCTTTTCTTTTGGTCATTTATCAAATGGGTATATAATGTAACCCCCCCCCCTTTTTTTTTTTTAAATCCTCACTTGATATGTTTATTGGTTTTTAGGGAGACAGAGAAATATCGATGTGAGGAACATCTATCGGTTGCCTCTTATGATCGGTTGCCTCCGTGACTCTACTGGGAATCCAACGCAATCTTTTGGTGTGCTGGGACTACCCCATCCTACTGAGCCACCCGGCCAGGGCTGATGTAGCCCTGCTTGGTCCTCTGGTTTAAAAGGGATTTGGCACGTGAAAAAATAAAAAATAAAAATAAAAGGGATTTATTGAAAACTAGAAACGGGAGGACAGAATCTGTTGTGATGCAGAAAAGAGGACGTGCACTCCTTTGTCTCATCTGGGCTCACTGCTTTCTCTCACTTTTGATTTTTAAAGCATTTGTCGGATTTTATCTTATCTACACGTGGGGGACTGAGGAGTTTGAGAAATCCAGGAAGAAGAATCCAGCCACCTATGAAAACGACCACTGAGCAACTCATCTGGAGGATGTTTCCATCTCTGAAAGACCCTTCTCTGGGAGAGGAGTCCGCATTGTATAGTGTCTTCAAGACACAATAAACTTCTTATGGGCTGCTATGTTGTGGTTTTGCATTTTTGTGAGCAGAGTCCTTGGTGTGACTTGCTAATCTTCAAGTTAATGAACTCCCTTCCCCAGACGAACCCTGAACCATTTTGGCGAGTCTGGGAATTTGGTGAAGGAGCGGGGCTCACCCCTCGCTCAGCATAATTTACAAGGAAGGATCTGCGGCTCCTCTGGCCGGCTGGCCTGTGGTGGTGGCAGGGACTGGGGAGCGCTGGTTCCCCTCCCTCTGCTCCTATAGCAATAATGAAATCTACATTGTAATTGCTATGTGTCAGGCACTCTTAGTTCTTTTAAACCCCACAACTACCTTTGAAATATTACACTCGTTTGGCAGGTGAGGACACAGGCACAGGGAGGGTAAATAATTTGGCCAAATTTATGTAGTGAAATGGTGGAGTCTGGGACTAAAGTTTATGTTCTTCAAGTTACCCTGTACTGCCTTTTCTCTAAGACAGGCCTTCTTTAGCCTCAGGGGAGTCAGCTATAAAAGGAAGGGTGAGGTGACCCCGTGACCTCCAGAGCTGAGGCAGCACCCTGGCTATTTGTACCAGATTGCTAACAGTAGTTATTAACCATATATGTCCATAAAGCCTAAAATATTTATTCTCTGGCCTTTTACATATGGAAAAAGTTTACTCTTGTTATGGAACCTTTGAATATATGTTTTGGTAGAAAAGTTTCCTTTTATTTTGTTTTTAACAGAATACACTAAATATATTCTCATCACTGGGGCTAATCCAGGGACTTAACTTAAACAATAAATATGACACCACAGCTATAGAGTTCTATACAGAAATCAAGTCAAGGACAGAAAATCTGAAGAAAACAAAAAGCACAGGCCCTAGCCAGGTAGCTCAATAGTTTAGAGCAAGCATGTCAAACTCAAAGGCTAACATGGGCCAAAGAAGGTTTTTGTGGGCCGCAAAAAAAAGCTTCAATTTTCATAGAAATGTAACTTTATTTCAATAGAGACGTACTGAATACAAAGGGCTGAAATAAATGAATAATCACTAACAAAATAGAAACATTTTAATATTTTTTCTTGAACATTAACTTAGACACTGAATAACCACAAATTAATAAGTGTAGCATAAATCTATTCTCTAAAAGCGAAATATTTCCTGTTGCGCACACCAAACAAGTCAGTACGAGACTAAACATGGCAATCAGCTACTAAAACATTAGCTGCTAGTATTAGTGGAGAGAAATGGTGTGCCTCCAAGTAAGGTGTGTGAGGGAAATGAATATAACAAGATTATGCTAATCAGCGAACGGGTAGCTCATTACGTATAACAGGATATAAAAAGTCATGACATTTTTATTAAAATGTTCCTTGAATACCATTATACTGATTGGGCCATCACCGTGGTAGCAGGGGTTAGGAACTTGGCCACGGGTGTGTTATAAGGGTGGCCACGGGAGCTCTAGGGAGAGCTGGTACCTCATGTCTTCACAGACTGCCAGCTGCTCCATGGATGGTCCTCACCCATCTGAAAGATGGTCTGATTCAGGGAAGGCAGAAGTTCCTTTGCTGCCAGACATGGGATCATCAGCTCCTGTAACGTCCACACCACGCACCTCCTGCCCACAGGGCCCTCCCCTGGGCTCAGCTTCTTCACCGGCAGCAGCGAAGCTGGCAGCAGCTGGGTTGCGGTTCTGGGAAGCCATCTGGGCAGCTCTGGCAGGGACACAGGAACTTGGAGGACACCACTGTAATTCAAAAAGGCACCTTTTTCCTTTTACCAGCAGTTAGTGTGGGAAGGGTCGGCAGTTGTATGCTTATGCTTCCCTGCTCCGCTTGTAGAAATTTCCCGAGTACACTTGTTGCTGGTCCAGAACGGCAACTTCCACTGTAGTTCGTCTTCTGTCTCAGGCTGCATCTTTCCTTCTTATTCTAATGATTGTTCTTGCCTTTTAGGAACCAAAGTTAAAATGTTCCCAAACCTAAAAATAAAAATTTGGCACGGTAAACTGCATTTATTTATTTATTTTAATATATTTTACTGATTTTTTTACAGAGAGGAAGGGAGAAGGATAGAGACCTAGAAACACCGATGAGAGAGAAACAACAACCAATTGCCTCATGTTCACCCCCTACTGGGAATGTGTCCGAAACCAATGTACATGCTCTTGACTGGAATCAAACCTGGGACCTCTCAGTCCTCAGGCCGACGCTCTATCCACTGAGCCAAACTGGTTTTGGCACAAACTGCGTTTATTGTGAGGCAGGAAAAGGAGGAATGGCAGACTTGGGCCCATATCCTTTTACTGTTGCTTCCTTCCTGTGATATAGGCAAGAAACCTGCATTCCTGAGCTTTGAACTTGCTGCCCATTAAAACAGATGTATTAGTAATTTTCCTGTTTGGCTCTTTGTCCAAATTTATTCTCAGGGCTTGCCTGATATGCAACATATTTGGGTTGTGGACTTTGAGAATGATGAAAGCTGTGGACCTGAAGATGTAAATGTACCCACTTTGCATAGTTTCAACAGATGCATGCACCAGGGGAGGACCACTGCCATTCATGACTCTCTCCCCATCTCTGATTTTAGCCCCAAGCTTACTAGAGGAGATGGTCAACCTTTCTTACCTTCTGGGCTTCATTTTTTAAAAATACATTTTTAGCCAAAACTGGTTTGGCTCAGTGGATAGAGAGTTGGCCTGTGGACTGAAAGGTCCCAGGTTCAATTCTGGTCAAGGGCATGTACCTTGGTTGTGGGCACATTCCCAGTAGGGGGTGTGCAAGAGGCAGCTGATCGATGACTCTCTCTCATCGATGTTTTTGACTCTCTGTCCCTCTCTCTTCCTCTCTGTAAAAAAATCAATAAAATATATATTTTTTAAAAATACATTTTTATTTATTTTCGAGAGAGAAAGGAGAGGAAGAAGAGAGAAACATCGATGAGAGAGAAACAAAGGGCTGCCTCCTGCATGCCCCTACCAACTATGGAGCCTGCAACCTGGGCATATGCCCTTACTGAGAATCAAACTGGCAACCTCTCGGCGCATGGGACACTGCTCAACCAAGTGAGCCACACCAGCAGGCATTCTTGGCTTCATCTTACCCTAAGACTCTTTGACTTCTTTGGAGGTACTAGCTCAAAATCAAACGTGCCCGTTCTCAGCACCGAGCCTGTAGGTCTGAATCCTTTTTATCTCAGGAGTGCCCTAAGACGGCCTTGCTATAAGCCCTGTACATTCTGACTTTCTGCTTTTAGATAAAACTGTGAAAGACTGCTCTTAAGCTTATCTCTTAGCAAAGAGCTGCCTCTCTAAACTTAAAGGCACAAAGCTCTGTGTAGCAGGGTGCTGACAGAATGTGGGGAGTTGTTGAAACTCAATGCTCCTGTATAGGATTTGGGGCCTGGGGTCATTTTAAGGACTAGTTGTAGCAATCCATAAAGAAAAGGAAAACTTGGTTAAAGTATCTTAAGGAAGAGGGAACTACTTTGGGCCTTAGTATCTGTAACCTACTCACCTGCCCCTTCCTGCCTTGGTGCAGCTCCTTCACCTGCTGCTGGGGACACAACCAGTTGTTCCTTTTGCCCTTCTTCCCCTCAGTAGTGCTCCTTCCCCAACAAAGGCATTCAATCTGGGCAGCAGAATGGGAACTCTTCAGGCCAGAACTGAAGAGTGCAGGCCCAGAACTCTGCCAGTTCCAGCCAGCAAAAAAGCAAATACATTTTGACCCTTTGTTGAAATTTCACCTAGAGAAGTTTTTCCATTTCAGGAAGGTGATTTTTTATTAGGCATCTTCTGCTTGGGGACAGCACAAGTTCCCAGTTACTGTTAAGCTCTAAGGATCTCTCCTCCTGAAATGTCTCCAACATCTGTTCCTGTACTACACCCTCCTCCTCTCATTTCATCCCGGGCACCTTCCTCCAAAGCAGAAAACCCCTGGGAGCTGTGTTCAGTTATCCATGCTATACACTATCAGATGTGCTGCAGTATCAGTTTCTTCTTGTAAATTAGTCACGTGAACCCCCAGATGTTAGTGCCTGAGAGGCCTCAGGGATCTCCTTCCATCTAACGGACAGAACAAGAGACTAAACCCAAAGGGGCTGAGCTGGCCTGTGGTCGGTTGCTCTATCGAGACCCCACTCCTGCCTCCCAGCCAAGCACTCTTCTTACAGCTGCAGTTGTTAAAGGCTGCTTAGACCTTTCCCTGGAGGGAGGAACATGTACCGTAGTTATGTGTTTATTCAGCGTAATACTTGATTGCAGGGAACCTGTGACATGTCAAATTTTTTTATTAAATTATTTGATTTTGCTTGGAGTACAGGGAGGCAGCAATGGAGGATTAGGAGAACGTACCTAACTTGGGAATGAGCAGGTTCCAAATCTCATTTGGCACATCACTCCAGGCTGATAAAGGGGAGACTGGCACCGAGTCCACAGACCCAACTGGCTCTAGGACATCACGTTGTTCAGTTTTTTGCTTATCTAATCAGATTTGTTCTTACCCAATGTTCACTAGGTCACCACGTAGCCTCGTCCCCACCCTACAGAGTTCCTAGTTAAGCCCCTACCTGAGGTCACTCAGAATGAAGGGAAGGAACAGCTAACTGGTCACAAACTCGCAGAATTGGCTAGGTGAGTTTAGCAGAGATCTGCTTCTCAGTGTTTCTGCAAGTACAAGCAATGCTGTCTCTTTCAGGCCTGGAACCAGGACAGACAGGTGTGGTCAGAGCCCGTCCCACCCAGCTTTGAGGTCCACCAATACCACCCTCCTTTCCCTTGGCAAGAAGATTGGCAACCCTGTTTCATCTCCAGCTGTGACGCATCTCCTTTCCCTCGGAGAACAGGCAGGTTCTTGCCAAATATCCAACCTCTGAAGATGAGAAGGGCCTTGGAAACAGGTAACAGCAAACTTTTCACAGAGACACC